AACACCCCCCCCCCCCCCTTTTTTTTTATCAAAGATCGTTGTTTCGAGAACGAAGAGACAGCGGTCGAAAAGGAATCTGAATCTACATCGTCAGAGGAAGACAAACCTTCCATGTTTAATGCAGCAGAAACCAAATGTCAAAATGTGTTCTTTGTTTCTGTACATACATGATACATATCACTCTACCCTCCATATTATACATGTTTATCGACTAAATATGATCCCGTTATATAAATGATGGATTTCATAATTAATTGAATAATCCTCGTTACAAATTTCAAATTTATCATCAAGCCAAAACATTATGTAAGCTGTTCATTCGATATATTGGTTTGAGGCATGTTTGTGTGTGATTTTCACCCCATTTCAATTAAAATAAATTGTTTATTAAAAAAATAGCGGTTCGTATAAATATAATTAAAATGTTATTACGCTCGGATATATTCTATTCTGCCTATTTTTTTACTCGATTTATTTAACATATTTACCGAAAGCCCAACAATTATTGGGCTAAGGTGTTATTCGTTAGCCGGCCCTAGACCAGATCATAAAGTTTCGAAACAAAGAGATACATTGAATCTGGACGCATAATGGGATCGTTGCTCAAATCGTGTGATGTATATCTATCACTCAACAGTACAAATTGTCATTTGGCATTTTATAATCATTGGGAATATCACAATTTTATTTTTTATTTTTGTTGTTCTAATATATATTTTAATATGGAATTTTGTATCACGTTTTATTTATTGTATTTATTCACCGGTTTAATCAAACCTACATCTATACCAAGGGAATTACTGATGTAATTAAGCATTTAAGTAATTTCCCCTTACACTTTGTATACGTCCATTGACTTTGGAACAGTGGAGACACAAAAACAAAAATCATTATTATTATTATTACCGACGTGGCGACGTGGATGAAGCGTTACCCCTCGACGTGATTCGTGACATCAGCTGTCCTCGGTAGTACGCCACGTGCATATTACTTATTTGATATTCACAAAATAAAAATAACCGACCCTTCTGTATTCTATTCTTTATTTACAAAATATCTACCGTTGAAACCAAACAAACAAAAAAGCAAGCCCCACTGGCCTTTTGTCCAAACAAAATTATATTAACCTTAAGAAATTCTAAAATATATGAACAAATGAGAATATAATCAGTCGTTTTTTCGTATTGAAAATTTTAAAAACATGCCATAAATTTCGAGAATTTATTTTATTACGTGTATAAAGGATTATTAATATTTTTTTAAAAAGCGATAGTTAAAATGGTAGAAGATTTATCCAAGATTAGTGATTCAACCGTTAAAGAAAAGGGTTAAAACTCTTTCTGGATTCGAGTTTTTACTTTTCACATGAGTTTTTTTCAGTTTTCTAAAAGATGTAATCGGATTAAAATTTCAATTTCGGTGAACCGTATTATTAAAAAAGATTGCAGGAGATTTGTGGAAGGGGATATTAAAGAAGCAGACACGACAAAACAATCTCATTCACTTTTTAAAAAGGAACAATCATATTCTCAACCATAGATAAATAGAATGAGATAACTTTTAATTTTTTTTAGAGAAAAAAAAAAGGGAAATAAGGGTCTTCTCTCCTAATAAACAAAGCTTTGAAAATAAAAAATAAATAAAAAGTAGAAAACAGATACATTGAACCTGGACATCTTAACAGCGGCATGCGCCTGAAGACCAGACGCCTATTAAAGAAGAACCAGAACCACGACCAAAGCAAAGCAAAGCAAAGCAAACGGAGCGAGAGAAAAGATCTGATCCTCCTCCACTCGCGAAATCCAGAGAGAGAGAGAAGATGGGAGGGACGAAGGGAGAGGTGGAGGCGGAGGAGCTGCGGCGGAGGAACGGGGAGCTGGAGAAGGAGGTGGAGGAGATGAGGGAGGATATGATGAGGATGTGGCGGCGGCTCCAGGTGGCGGAGGAGGCCGAAGAGCGCTTATGCTCTCAGCTCGCCGAGCTCGAAGCCGAGTCCCTCCACCAGGCGCGTGACTACCACTCCCGCATCCTCTTCCTCCTCGATCAGCTCTCCCGCCTCTCCCCCTCCGCCTCTTCCCCTTAGGTCTATCTGTGTATCTGTGTAGATTTCGGTAGCCATGGATGGATCTAAGAGAACATTTTGTTGTAGTTTTTCCAAAGTGTTCGATCCAATGTGCAGCTTTGTATTTGATCCTATAACGAGGTTTTGTGTCTCCTCCTTTCAAGATTTAATTTCATCTTTTTTTTAAAAAAAAATACAAGGAAATGAATTATGCTTTAAAAAATCACACGGCTTTTGCAAACCTAATAAAAAGATCATAATATTATTATACAGACGAGAAGAATACATGCACTGGAAGAAAAAAAAATTGTTAAAGCTTTGTTTTTGTAATTCCTATATATTATATAGTTTTTTTTTTATAACTATGATAGTTTTTCGGGTCTTCAGTCCGACTACATCCACTCTAAATCCAGAACCAACCTTTGTATATGGATCATTTTAGTTCAGAAATTATACCTTTGATGATGGGGAATCGAACCCAGAGTATAATTTCTGCAGACGATCTCAACGATTCCCACATCTACCGACCACAATCCACAAAGCATGATTTGATTCTGCAATTAATATATATGTATATACACATATACACGAAGATGAGAGTATGCATGCGGTTCCTTACATCACGATTTGCCTCTTATTTTTTTAAAATTGTATATTTTATAACCATCCGAGATATTTGGGGTTATTAACATAATCAAATTAAAAAGGAATCGTCGGAATCATAATCGGAATATACCCTAGTTAGTTAGGCTTCAACTTTCTTTATTAAATAAAAAAAAATGAATTTCCATTTGGTAATGAATGCATCTATATCTCTGTGGATTTTTGCCACCTTTCACCTCATATATACAATTTTTAAAAATTAAAAATATGATTACTTATAAAAATAACTTTAATACATGTGCACTTGAAACCCTCTTCATGTTTATTTTGTTTTTCTAAATGTATTTCCAAATAATTATCGTCTTAAAAATAATAATAATATTGTATAAAAACTCATTAAAAAGACAAAATTTGTTTATTAAAGGTGTAATAATCGCTTCTTGAACCTAAGGAATTCACCCAAAATATCAGGAACAGTTATGCCAAGAATCTTGAAGTCGAGCATATTCCCAAAGGAGACATCCTCCTTAAACTGCGATCAAAAATTACAAATTGGCTCAACTTCGGCTTCCCTTTCTGCTTTTCAACTCGGGGTCCCTGCAATAGCAACACCAACAAGACATTCTACCGTTAACGTTAAAGATGGCATATCTATATATGTATATATATGTGCTAGAAGCTGGATTCTAACCTCTGGACATGATCCAGGATCAGAAGCCTTGGCCCGGACGGGATATTCACGTCTCTTAACGCGCTGCCGAAAAACAACATCAGAGGCAGAGCCCCCCGGGGTTCATAAGATATTCGATGACAAATTGCAGTTTATCTCTGTCCAAGAAACGAAATCCCCTAACTTTTTAACCGGATTTTAGTTTTACCTATCAGTGAGCAATGGCAAAGTGGAGTCGGTCAACAAGCCTTTCTTGAAGTTCTTCTCGTATTTCTCAAGGCCCAATTTCAATAACATGGATCTTGCCCGGGTGTAATACGGGTCCTCAGCGGTCGGTTTAGAAAACCTTTCTCCCAACTGAATGTGGCGGATACGAAATTTGTTTTAGAAAACATGTACTAATGTTCAGACTTCAGACCAGACAGTGGTTCAACTGTAAAGTTTCCAATCTGAACACTCACCTTAAAAAACAATCCTTGGAAAAGGGCAAAACCAGCAGCGGTGCTGATGGCGTTTGCAGGCTGTCCTTGCAAACCTGAGCTTACCAAAGAATAAGCAACTCCAGATCCTAATGCCGCAACCACACTGCACCAGAATCAAATAAAAGGATCCGATTCATATGGTTTCATTACAGGCACAACAGATCATTTTTCCATGGAGTGACCTACGGTGAGAGAAGCAACCCGATATTTTCGGCTCGTGTTGGCTTTATTACATTTGATCAGCCAAAGACCATAGTACTGACGGCAAGGGCAAAACATAAGCACAAGTCATAGATCATAAGTGGTGCAAGCAAATGAATGGTGAAATATTGGAATCAGGAATCAACTCAAATTAGCCTCAGCTTAGCCCAAGAGGAGATAAGATTCAGCCACAGTACGAACTAACTAAAGAGCCCTTCACCGTAAATCGGAAGACGAAAACTTGAGAATGATACTCACGCAGACTCAAGATCCTCCTTGCCTCTGAGGCGTTTCATAATGCACGCTATTCCTGCATTTACACCTGTTATCGCTGCAAAGTTCCGAGCTTGGACCAATGGCCCACCAACAAGAGCCTACACAAATCGAACAAGCCCGTTCCATAAATCACGTAATGCCGGCGTCGAATAATTTCCATGTAAAACTCGTGAAACTTGGTAATGGGATACAGAAAAATCACAATTTACGAACGCGAAACATCAAACCGAGACTACCGGAAACTGAAATGAAAAGCGAGGAAAAGGGGTTAGGGTTTATGGGAAATCACCTGAGCTTGCTTGAAGGAGGCCGTGGCCTGAGGGTCTAGTCCCGACTGAGGCATTTCGGGGGAGAGAGTTCCCATGAGACCGCCGATGAAAGCTCCCTGAACGCCGCTCATGGCGGAGACGATGGCAGCTTCGACGGGCAAAGATTGCTTCGAAAGCCACGACTTGAACCCGCTCTCCAATTCCTTGAATTTCACTTGAAACTGCTGTATTGGGTTCTGTTGTTCCCTGAATAGATTAGCCACCGCCATCATTTCTCGCCTCGAGTGCTCTGCTCCTCCTCCTCCTATCCCCATTTTTTCTCCTCTCTTCTTCAACTACTCTTGTGACCTTGCCCTGTATTCTATTCCTCCCTCGAGATTCCTCTTCTTATCTCCCTCTCAGCTCCGTTGGGCCCATTGGGCTTTTATCGGGCACTTACTATTTACTGGGCTCTAGGTTTGTCTGGGCCTTTTTCTCTTCAAAAATGTTTACCGTTGACTTGAAATAGTGCCAACTAGCTAGGGTGTTACGTTATATTCTAATTGGATTATATTCGGATTTGGTTGTTTCGGTTATATAAAGACTATAACCATTCGATTTTTATATAAAGTTCGGTTTTCGATTATTTTTCGCTTTGTTTGGATTCGATTTCGATAAAAAAAATTCATTTTTTCAAAGAAATTATGTTTTTTTGATAATTTTTTTAATCGATTCGATTCGTTTTTTTATTTAAAAAAATCATTACCATTCGATTTGATTTTTATATCAGATTCAATTTAGATATTATCTTATTGCTTTCCTTATTCGTTTAAATTTTTGTAAATGTTTTGGGCACAGAAAAATCCTTGGGTAGGGAGAATGTGGTCTTGTTATCAATGTTGAGCCCATTGGGCTTTTTTAATCCAGCGTTGGGACAACATTTCCCTCATGACCAACCGTCCAGACTAGCCATCTCAGTCCGTCCGGTCCAGATAACTCAGACCGACCGGACCCGTCCCTGTAGTCCGTTCAGTCCGTCCGGTCCAGGTCTTGCAATCCGTCCGGTCCAGACCTGTTTACCCTTTTTGGTTCGTATAATCGGATCAAACGAGATCCGATGTAACTAATCTGGTTCAGACCCATATCCGATCGACCTTGACTTGTTTCCAACCCGAACCTTACGGAACTTGAACGAAACCATTTCACGGTAAGTAAAACCCTCGGAACAAACATAATTGGTAATCTGGAATGATTGGTACCCAATTTGAATGAACCGAATGATAAAAGAATGTGATGAATTTGAATAAGAAATAATACCAGAACAATAAGTAAAGATGTATGTATGCATGATTAAACGAAGGTTCTTGTATGAGTGCTTGTGATTGGGGATTTGGGCAGTTGGCATGACGTGAGATAATACTTCGGAGGGCCGGAGTATTATTGAGCGTGTGGTTGTAGTCGGGTATTAAGATGATATTCCGATGATTACTCTGTTTGAGATCTCCTCTTTATGATCCTTGATCCGGGTCGGATTTCATATTGAGGAGACATGATTGTGATTGATCGTCTATAGGCGGAGCGTAAAGCCGATGATTCACGGGATAGCCTTGAGTGATTCGACTATCACGGGATGAAGAAACCTTACGTTGACTCTGTGACCGCACAGATATTTCACATGCTATGGAACGAGTTCAAGAGTGATTCCCAATAGAGACTGGCATACATTTATCCGTGACTCGGGATTGAGAGATTCTTCCGATAAGGTTATGCAGAAATACTCTGAAAGACCTGGGCTCGGGTCTGATGAGCTTTTCCGTGGTGGATGGCCGGCGAGAGGTTGTCAGTTGATGACTGACTTCGCTAGATATTGTCGGTGGTGGCCTGTAGAAGGCATCTGGCACTCTGGTATCGAGAGGTGACATCGATATCCCAGGGGATGGTTGGTGTGATATGTTTTTATGAAGTGTCGGGTTTGAGTTGTTGTGTTTTTATTATTCCGGTTTCGACTGAGGAGAGTGAGGGGATTGTGCGTTGCACATGGAGAGTTCTTACCTACGCGTGTGATGCATGTTGGGGAATCTACGGGTTCCTAGCATGCGATCATATCGATCTAGGGTTTGGTTTACTAGGTTTCATGCAGCGGAAGAAAAATCTAAACCTAGTCAAACGTCACACGCAACCAAACTCGCAGAACCCGAAAGATCGTGTATATCACCGAGGGAATCGTTACTTACCTCGTTCTCGATGAGACTTGAAGTTTGTTTCAATCCGAGGCCTGTTCTAAATCACCAAGAGCTGAAAGTACAGCTCCTCTACACGTATCCACACCGACGGGAAGGATTCCAAACGATTTGGAACGAATCTGCTATGATTAGTGAAGAAAAAGGTAACTCAAAAGACGAGATCCAATCCCGGGACAATAGAAATCCAAGAGAACAGCTTCTCTAGGGTTCTAGGGTGTTTCTCTGAGTTTTAGGTCGACTCTCTTTAAGTTTAGACGAAACCCTAAACTTAAAATAAGATTAGAAAACCCTAAAATCGAATTTTGGAAACTTTCCCAGATCCCGGTCCGCCGGACCGGCTGACCTGAAGGCTTGGTCCGAGGGACCACGTGTGGTCAGCTCCGGACCAAGACCCTTCTTGGTCAGTTCGGTCCGACTTGCCATTTTTCTCGGTCCGCCTGTCCAGGAATCTGGTCAGCGGCTGACCAACTCTTGGTCAGCCGGACCAG